GATACTATTATGAATGAGCATGGGGGTTTTTTCAAACTATATGTTGGTGTTGTGGTGTTCTTTCAGATTGGCCCACGCCATCAATTGCCGTAGGTACGAATGTGGAATGTAAAGCAGACAATAAAGTCGTGAACTAGACCTTGAAAGACACAGATACAAAAAAAAAAAACATAATACTTCAACAATTGCTTGTCCCAGCGAGGAGAACAGATTGTTGTTCGATCTCCACAGCATTTTATGCAGTATGGAACATTTTTGCGGGCTATCTAATCCCTCGACCTGTAAGTTTGGTTTGACAACCTAAATGCCTCTCTTAAGTATATCACATCTGAACTCTAGCGAAAATTATTAGGTCCGGTCACCAGACCTAAAATTTTAGGTCCGGATATCAAATTAAAACATGCTACGTGGATTGCGCTTTGACTGTGCTTTTTGATGGCGCTTTGACTGCGCTTTAACTGCGCTTTACCTTCGCTTTGACTGCGCTTTTTGATTGTGCTTTACCTGCGCTTTTGACGCGGTTGACTTAAAATTTTGCGGACACGTGTACATTCCACATGCCAATATTTTATTGATGTCCGGACGTATCTCTACATCCGGGGAACGGACCTAATAATTTTCCGAACTCTAGATAAGTACTAAAGTCTTTTTATTGCAAACTTGCAGAGGATTCCTGTGTGGTGGAGATGGTACTCCTGGGCATGCCCAGTTGCTTGGACTTTGTATGGACTTGTCGCTTCGCAGTTTGGAGACTATGATCAGGACAAAATGACAGACAGTGATGTTACTGTACGGGAGTTTATTAAGGAATACTTTGGATTCAGGCATGACTTCTTGGGAGCAATAGCTGCTGCAATGATTGGGTTTACTGTGCTATTTGCCTTCGTGTTTGCCTTCTCAATTAAAGTTTTGAACTTCCAACGACGATAGTAAAAACCTAATATGTCTTCAGAATTCCTGATGCAGATGATTTCTGTATATAATAAGTCTTTGTAGAACTTTTCTTTCTTTCTTTTTTTTCTCCTCTCTGCGATTAATTCATGCTGCTAGGTATTTATACGCATTTTGTTTTGGGAGTTAGGTTCTATTTATCTCAACTATGCTTGAATATCATTTTATTTACGGTAATCTTTGTTGGTGACTTGAAAACTATCTCATATTTATATGGAAATGATTTCCTTTTTGTTTTTTTGGTTTTTGTAAGCTCCAAAAATTCAACGCGCCCCGGCCTCTTCATGCTAGTCTCTTTTCTTGTTTGCTGTGTATGACAACGGAGAGTTTTAATGAGCTTAGGTTTCGAGTGAATTTTCAAAAGACATATTGGGTTTTAGATAAGACACTACCTAGAGATTTCGCCCTCATCTTGTGGAAAAATTATTATGCCCTGACAAAATACCGAGCATATCGAGTGTACCTATGGGCTCTGAAAATTCAGCCCCAGCCTTCGCCCGCTT